TTTCAAGTAGAAACCAATGATGAAGCGTAGAGTATCGTAATCAGTTATACCTATCAAGAATGATGGTGGATATTCAACGCATTATCAAGACAGACGTGTTTAAGCGGGAACAGTGATTAAATAGAGACGTAGTATTCGTCATTACTATTTACTCCAATAATGTTAATTAAACTGGTAGTTATTTGCTATACACGAAGATAATCTGTAAGATTTGGATAGCCAATATTTCATTATAAATTTTAAAAAGAAGACCTATTATTTTAGAAATAAAGATTTACTTATTTGTTAAATTTAAAAGTTTGTAATTCTTTTTGTTGTGTACGTTGTTGGACAGACATTAGACCTTTGATCCAAATTGATCGTCTATGACATTCATATTATATATGCATTTTCGTAGGTGACACCCCCCTCTCAGCCCCTTCCCCCAGCTCGAGCCTACGAGTCCCCCTGTCGGACAACTTAGCCCCCAGAAAATATATCCTGGAGGCGCCACTGCTAGAAAGCCGTGAACAAAAGTTGGTTGTTCTCTTAGTAATGTATATATCAATAAAAATGTTTGGTTTTTAATCTATTTATTGTTGCTTTTCATCGCACTGTAATGGTTAATTTTGTTATGCACCACACCCTTTACAAACCTGGACATCCCCCACCATCTTTCGTCCGACGCCACGACAAGGTCGTGAGACTAAACTAATCTTTAAATCCAATCAAGTTGCGGTTGCCATTCCCTAATATTGTGATCTAAAAGTATAAATTGTGGATGCCCAAAAATCTCATCTGGCAATCCCCCCTCAAGGGATAAAGTTGGTGTATAAATTCATACCTGTAAATTTTGAAAATGTGCTGCAAAGCAACTACAGTGTACCCCTATTCCAACCCCATGCAAGAACAGATACAAGATTGAAAGTTAGTGGAAGTGGGCTAGATACTGTACCCTCTATCTCGGGTCCATCGTACCATGATTGAAAAAGTCAATGCGGTGCGTAATTCATATAGTTGATAATTATATATATTTCAGAAAGTAATGGAATTGAAAAAAAGTTTTCCGACCATAGCCGGTGCGCTTCCGATGGCCCTGGTAACATATTGAATGTTGAAATGCACGGATGATAACTAAACATTTACATTCAACACAATAAAAATTCTGACTAATGATGTTGGATTAATATTGTCTATGCAGTATATTTTATTTATATATTTAGCATTTTAAACGTACATGCATTATAAAACAAATTTATTGGAATCAGAAACTATCGAAAGCTACTCGAAGATTAGAAATAAGTTTAATGGGCACATCATCATCGCCAAACACCCAGAAGCAAAAGAGTAAGAAAATCCAGGAATGATATCAGTAGAGTGGTGAGTAAGCAAGTAACTTAATTTTTGAGCAAGTCTGTGTAGACCTAGAGAATAAGACATTAGAGTCGGAATCATGCTGGGCATTTAAGAACAACAGTGAAGGTCCCGTGAATGCGCTCGGTAGATCTAGTCGTACCTAAAAATTAGTCCAGGTAGACAACACATTTTTTTTTCCCGATAAAGATAACTATTCAAAAATCACCTCCTAATGTGGCTGGAGAATGACCAATTCCAATGCTCAAAGCGTAACAATAATTTACATAGCAGTAGTTGTAAACAATTAGCTAGCCCACACCTTTAAATCAACTGAACCGTAAAAGGTAAAATCAAAGCGATATGGATTTTCACAATTATTGAAACTGAACTAGTAATTCTTTAAAAGTAGTTACAACATATTTTATTTAGTGACTTACGGTACCGGTATATATTAAACAATATAAATGATAAAGAAAAGTAGTTATATGTACCAATTATAATATCCGATATAAACAAGCATCTACAGTAATAGGTAACATATTATTTTATCATGTTAAATTCAGTGAGCTTTCTTGCAGTTGAATCAATTAAATTTAATATCCAGTGTTACCTAAACTAGAATTTCTTATATAAAGATATTATACCATAAAATAACCTTATGAATAATTAAAAAAAAAAAAAAAAAAAAGTCTGAGTATGATAGGTAGACCTACTAAACACATGATAATTTCCTTAAGCTTTCTTGTTGCATCTATTTGATATTCTGTGTAACTAATATACTCAAACAAAATATAATAATAAAGTTGATAATATTATATTTTATTATGGTATACTTTATACTCTATAATATTATGTAAGAAAAATACGCTGCAGGTAGTGTCTGGATATGCTACTTGTAAGCACTACTCTCTTACGTGATATTTCTTGCAGTTGCATTTATTTAATTGTATATTCTGTGTATTATCTGCAGATAGTGAGTGTTTCTAATAATGGTAGGTAGACTAACTAAACAATTGTTGTCATAAGATAATGATTAATAGCTAAAAACGAGATGCATTTCTAAAATGCGAATGATGGGAAATCAATAAAAAAAAACCGCTGCTTTTCTACAAAAATCTCGGCTCTCTGAATTATTTCTTTGATAAAGCGATCTATTTGGAAAGCGTAAACGATGCGAAATAAGCAACGTCATGTTAACTTCCGTGAATGTTTGCAGTTGTATCAATTTAATTTGATATTTTGTGTAGGTATTACCTAAACTTGAACTTAAAATATAGTAAAGCTGATATCATACCATAAACCTAAAATTATATAAACTAAGATATTAAAACACGTCTGGGTAAATAATATTATATCAGAAACATACTCTGCAAATGATGAGTGTTTCTAATAATGGTAGGTAGACCTACTAAACGGTTGTTGTCATAAGATAATGAACTAAAGGTCAAAAACGAGATGCACTTGTAGAACGTTAAAACGATGCACAATCAACGGAAACCGGTTGTTTCGTACGACATCTCGGCTCTTTGAATCATTTCTTTGTCCAAGCGACCCATATGTTGAATTCCCTGCTCCTTGACCTTCGCACTACTTCCTCTATTACCTCTCTTGCAGCAGCCCTTCCATGCATCGCGAATATCTTTCTGTCCTACGCAGAACAGAAGGAAAATAAAGAGGCCTTGGAGTGAGTTAAAAAGGCTGAATAAAGCCTGAAACAAATCCCTCGCAGACGAGTCGGAATCAATTGCCATGAACCCAAAAACCCACGGGAGGCCAATTAGGACAGAAACCGCGATAGCATTCTGAAAACTTTTGATGAGTATTCCCCTCTTTGCTTTGGCAACTTTTCGCCCGCAAATAAGAGTACGCATGACTAACGCGAATACAACGCAATTAAACAACAGAAGGACACCAATCACCAAGATAATGCTGAAATTTCGAACATTACCCGAAGGAACAAAACAGCTGAAATTGAAAAAAAAAAAGAAAGAAATATAAGTAAGTTCTTCACAAACAGATTATCACAATTGCTGTTACCAATATTTTTAAACAAAGAACATTATTAGTAAGCTTATTTTGTATAGAGGAGGTGTAGCAGACATTTATTAGAGTCAAACACAAACATGAAATATCCAATTAATGTTGATGATAATAATAACTAATAAAAAATAATAATCATTTTAATTATCGCTAATCAATTTTATTTGAAATTGTTGTATAATAAAAACAAAATAATGTTAAAAGCAACTGAGTTGCAAAATATAATAATTTATCATTTATATAATTAAAGTATCATAATAGCATCTTGCTGAAATTAGTTTACGGAGGTTGGAATATTTAGATAATCATAGTATTTTAATGAATTTGTAATGACATATGGATTGCCTTTGTGTAGATTATTTTTTGTAGAAGGCCTATTGCAGAGTAGTATATACATCTCTCTATTGGAAGCCTTACGTTGTAATACCTTGATGATCTTGATAGCCGTAA